GAGTTTGAGCATTACCCTAAATTAGCAGATAATTCTTTTAACTGCCAGCTAAAATGATATATGTGAGGGAAAATTCTACTATGTGAAGTTATACTGTGGTTAAAAGCATGGCTCATCACTTAAACAAAAGTACTAGAAAGTTATTCATAAGGTAAATTAATATACCAAGCCTAATTCTATATCAGAAGATATTACTTTGAAAAATTATCCAGAAAGTTATATAAGTAAGCATGCCAAACAAATTATGGCAGGTGATAAATCCAAATCAATAAAACATTAAACTACTTCTATTTTTAATTTCTAGTTGATTGTTGAGAGCCAAACAGTTCTGAAAATCCTACCAAGAAAGATGCAGGGACTTGTCCAGGCAGTCACCAGGATTCAAAACAAAACAAAACAAAACAACTAACAGCAGATTATGAAATACCAATGGGGGGCGATATCTATAGTTATTACAAAAATTCTATGATCTCTATTAAATGAATAAATAGGTATTTTGAGCACAAATCTGTTTCCAAATTGATCAGAATAACTAATATTGCATTCAGAACAGAACGTTTCAATACAAGTTCAGATTCAAAATGTTTTGCACATACCTCTCATATCCAGCAATGCAAAACCTTGACCTTTTCCATAGGTCCTTGACTTATGACAACTGGGACCAGAATTTCCATTGCTAAATAAGACAGTTTTAAGTAAGTCGTACTTTACTTGTTGGAAGCTGGCTAAGATAGTTGCAAATGGTGATCACATAACCCTGGGACAATGCAATAATCTAAGTACATGCTTGTTGCCAAGCACCTATATTTTGATCAAATGGTAGTGGGGATGCTATGATGGTCATGTGCAAAATCATGAATCATTGCCACAGTAACTTTGAATGGTTGCTAACCAAATGGCTGTAAATGGAGGACTATCTGTATTTCTCTTTATATTTCCAAAACACATACATAAGAATTCTACTAGAATTAACAATGCTTTTTAAAAATGTCACTTAAGGTTTGCAACCCTAATAATTTACATAAAAGTAATTTTCATTTAATTTAATGATGGACATATTCTTTTTAGCAATTGTTGAAATGTTATTTTAGATTTTGTATACTATTACTACGAGGCAGTGATAAATAGTACCATCACATGAAGTACACTAAGGACATATAAAAGTGACTAGAGAAATTACTTACTATTCCCACAGGAGTAGGGAATTAAAAATCACAGTGATTTTTTTTTCACACAATGTTTTCTATCTCCTGACACACCAGCATTATCTAGAATTCCAAGCCATTGATATTACTTATGATTCCATTATAAGTAACAAGATCAATACTCGCAAATTATGTTCTGACTGTTTATAAGATGTGCAATCTTAACTAAAATCAGTAGTATATCTCTGGTCAGATTAGCCATTTCATTTATAGAATTTGTCTCTTGCATTGATGAAACAACTTGTTTGCTCTTTCCTACCCAAAACTGCTCAGACTTCTATTCAAGATTGCCAGTATAACTCTGGAATTAGAAACAAGAAAAAAATATCCAAGAATCACAATGACATTTTATCCCACATCTATAGATTTATTTGCCTAAGTTTAATAAATAATAATAAACTCCATGTAGAAGTTAAAAAGTGGGTAGAGGGGATCAAAACAGAACTTTGAGACATCTCAAAATTCAGCTACCATAAGGTTGCCCAGAAATCCTCCAATAAATATCATCATCATATTGAGAGAAACAACCACTATCATATTGGGCATCAAATCCAAATCTGGAAACAATTTTAAGACAGATACTATGACTATAAGGCCCCAACAGGGCCAAACTCTTTACTATATAATCCCTGTATCAATAATCCACTAAAACAGTTTCTGCCCAAAACTCAGTTCTGAACCAATCCTGGAATGCTAATCTAAAACTGCCTGGAGTTAATAAGCTATCATTTACTCTAAAGCCATATTTAAAAATTATATAATACAATCTGAGCAAGCAAATTCCAAGGCTACAGAATTTAAATTTGGCTTTCATATAAGCAATTTCACAATTATTCCTATAATACAGTTTGGGCAACCCTACAGTTATTACTAAACTTATTATATCTACTTGGGCCATTTCTGGCAGATTTCAGAAGCCACAAATTGTAAGGATTCAAAAGTTAAGTTTATTTCAGCTCTCCAAGTAGCTTGTCCATTTCTCCATTACCAGTAATGCAAGACAGTTATGTAAGTAAAAATGCTGATAGGCTGGAGGTTTTATTTATGAAAACTAAGAAAGACTGAGATTCCAGAATCAGCAATGCTTTCATTGTCTTTTCTCTGCAGCAGACGAATATATATTATGGTTTTATTAAGTTAGATGAGTGTTATAATAAATAACTTCTGAAATAATTATTTTAAAGTCTTGCAAAGTAATAAAACATACTGAGAATTGGTCTCTGTGTATTTTGCACTTTAAAAATTTAAATCTACATTTATTTTGGATTCAGTAACCTGTAAAAATGTTTTATAACAGATGAAACAATTTTAAAAGTGAGAGCTAGGCAATGAACATGAATGAAAAGTAGTATTCTTCACAATTACACTATGACACACATATATGCATATTCCAGTCTTCAAAAGAATAATTATTAGACATAGTCTTTCAAAACACTCTATGCAGTTCATATAAGTTATATATCAATAGTGCTTCAATATCGAGCCAAAATTTCCAAACATCAGAAAAAGGATTAAGTCTGAAAAATGTGGTTTGTAGTCACAAAACACACCAAATTATTTTTTAATCCTAGTTTAAGGACTGGTTTGCCAAACATTAACCACTAAGGCAATTTTTTTTACTTTAAATCATTATTGTGCTGATGCCTGATAGCCAACTAATATTTGTGCAAACTGCCACTTCCCACTTTCTAATTATTTGAAATAATTTAAAAAAGGCTGATGATAGCTGGATCTTGATCAGAATCCCCCCTCCCCCATTCTCATTGTCTAAAGTAATGTTACTTTTAGGAATAGGTTAAAAACAAAAATGGAATAACTAAGCTATCTTTTCAAAAGCACTCTATTTTGTGGCTGTATCCCATATTTATTTCCTGAAGAATTGATGGATACTGTACTTACCATAAACTACCTCTTAATGCAGGTTCACATGACATGTGAGACCATTAGCAGTCTAAAACAAGCCACAATTACAAATTGTGACCAAGGAGGAATATTTAAAGCACATTCTTACTCATAATTTGGGTACAGATGACACAATTCTTGAGTATTTTGTATGAATATAATCTCAGATTATTTTAAGGGTACCTTAATATTGGTTTACTCAATATTAAATCTAACATTTCTTCATTCATCCCATTTGCACTTCATATAATATTTCACAGTGAAGCATCAGTTAATTTACCATATAGAGAACAAGAAATAATATATGAGAAAAACTTGATAGAATAAAAAAAATGTTTCTTCCCAAAGTAAGGAGCTACCACTGAAAAGCCCTGTTCCAGGTCAATTTAATTGGAACTTCCTTACAATAATTACATGCAGGATAGGAAAAATGCACAAACTTATATTGAATCTGTAAGGTCAAGGGGTGTAAGATCACAGATATATACTACCATGATCTCAACATTATACCCATGTAAAAAAGTTGATATATATATATAATGTGTGGCAAATATTTTATTACTTTTAATTTATTTTGCAAAGAAAAAAAAGAATGTCATAATTATGAAAAATGCATGAATATTTGACCAAAATTTCTAAGCTCATGCTAAATTATCATGAGTTTCTCTTCTCATAGAGAAAGTTGTTAAAAATTAAAAGTGACTCTATCCATGTATTGTATAACAAAGTAAAAACTGTTTGGTGTTAGGTGTAACAACACATTAAATACACCCAACTATATAAAGCAAACAAGACACAACACTTTCATGAAAATAAGTCTAAACAAAATTCATGTTAAAGTTATTTTTTCACACTAAATCTCTGAATTTAAACAAACGTTACAGTAAAAACAGAACATAAATTAAAAGCTACTTTATCAAATCATAATAGGAGCAAAACCATCTAACTTGTAAAACATTCACTTATAATAAGGGAAGTTATTCTCATGCATTTCCATTTAACTTTCCTTTTTAGTGACTTTCACATGATCGAACAAAAGAACAAGCTCCCCAAACCAACAAGCAGGTACTGAGGGAGGGTGAAACAGGCAGACTGAGCTACATTATTTCGCTACCACAATTAACTGCACTTTTCATTTCTAGAATAAAAACTTCGGCTGCCATTTTCAAACAACCTATCAAATTGGACATTCAAAATATACAGCAGAGGCATTTTAGCAACTGTTGCAGCTTCACTTTGGGGTGAGCAGTGAACATGCATTTTAAAAGTTGATTAATGAGTAAGAAGGCCACTATCTCCTGCAGTCATTATTTTGAGACCGAGCTAGAAACTGACCATTACCTATGTGCCAATTCCTTGCCAATGAGATGAATATTATGCAGCAAAGAGCAAGAAAGTATCTGACGTTAGGGACACTACAAAAAAAAAGCAGGGCGGAGGACCCAGTCCCATCTTTCCTTGTCTACCCTTCCAGGTAAGCAAGTTGTCACATACATTTGCACAAACATTAAAGCAGAGCAAAACCGGATTTTCTGCCACATCAGACCTCACTAAGGATTTAACTGTGGCGAATGAAAGAATAAGCTAGACAAAAAATAAAAAATAAATAAAAATCCCGACACATCATGTCACCTCTCCTATCGTGTGAAATCGCGTGGGCGCCACGATGAAGCTACTCGTCATCTCATTCCGGTCCAGCAACGAGGATCTGGCCTCTTCCTCTTCCCTTTCCTCGGATAAGACACGGCGGCGGCGCAACTCAGGTGGGAACGGAACCGAGCATCTCTTCCCCCACCTCTTTCCTCCCTCCCGTCGGGAGCAGCTTCGGTCGCCTCCGTCTCTCCCCGGGCCCATTTGCTTTCCCCCACCACCACCAGCCCCCCGGCCACTTACTTGCCGATCACCTCGCACAGCTCATACACATCCTCGAACAGCACGTCGTCGTCGGCCATGGTCCAGATAGGGGAGAGTTATCCTTGCAGGCGGCCGAGGCGGGAGGGGGCGCGGGCAGGATCCCCTCCGCGCTCCCCGCACAACACGCCGCCGCCGCCGCCGCCAATCAGCACACCACGTTAAATCCCGTCCTTTTAATACCGAACAGCTCAAATCCGTCCCGGAGGTTCCAAGGGCTACGCCGAAAATTTCACCAGCTGCCGCCGCTCCCCGTTCCTTTCTCCTCTGGGCCTCGGCCGCCCGCCCGCCCGCCTGCCCGCCTCTCCGCTGCCGCCTCTCGCTACCGCCGCCAGGTCGTCACCTTTTTCCCACCCCCTCCGTCGCGAGCCTTTTTTTTTTTTTCTTTCCTAAGGCCTTCGGAGATTAAACGAAGCAGGCAAAGGCTATCCAGCCAGAGGGGTGGAGCAGCAACCATGGAAGGGATGGATACAAAAATGAACCGGCCGAGGGCAGAGACGCCTCATTCGCTCCCCTCCCCCCACCGGTGCACACTCACACACGGAGGGGACAGAACGAGAGCGCGCGGGAGGGGAGGGAAAGGGAAGGGAGAGGCAGACACGGCTCCGACCACGCGCCGACGACAGCGATAAGTCATTTAGCGAAGGGCGCGCGCGCGCGCCGTTCCTGTCCCAGTCGCCACCTTTTTAATCAGTCACGCAACCGCCCAGAGCAAGCGCGCGCACCCTTCCTTACAGAGGGCGAGGGGGGGGTGCCTCACCCGCTCTTCCTCCTCCCTCTTTTTCTTCTGCACAAAGCCACTCCCACAAGTAGCTCAAAAAAATACGCGTTTGGCGTAAGGAAGCGAAAAGGGGTTGTTCTGCGCAGACGCAGATGCTTTGACGTCATAGAGCAGCAAGGGTGGGGGGGAAGAGCGGGTAATGTTACTATCTTTTCTCAAGCGGATGGGTTTTTCTCGTAGCGGTTTTCGAGGCAAGGCTTCGCGGTTGAAGTGGCGTCCTATAAACTAAGACGAAGAAACGAGTATGGCTTCTTCGGATGTACTGATATCGGATAGTAAGGCATAGGAAGAAAGAGCAGATGTCCGTCACAGTGCTTTTGGGTGTTTTTCTTTTTAATGATAGTCGACTGTAGTGTTTTGCGAGAGCAGCAAGTCCTTTGGCTTACGCGAGAAACTAAACTAAAGGAAGCTCCGAAAGGAAAACTAGCAAAATTAGCTGTTCCTGTATAACCAAAATTCCTGACCGCAAGTTGTTCTGTTTAATTCTTTTCTGTTCTGGTGCATTTTCTCCTGTTCCTCAATTTGATTAAGAATTAATATTTTAAAAGTACGGTAGTGAAATAGCATTGCTGAATCGACAGGAATATGCAGTTAGGAAAGTGGAAAAACTGCTAAAACTACAAGTAGAAATTCTGGTTTATCCATTCACTGCCCTATTCCAATTTGGATCACCCACTTCCAGATGGGAAATCACTTGGATATCCTTGGCTATAGAGTGATTTATTATGTGCCATCAAGTCTTAGCGACCCGTATATTTCTTCCATGACAATCTGTTCCTAACCTAGTATTTTCAGGTCTTCCAATGGTGCACCCATCACCACTGTAAAAGTCCATCCACCTTTGCTGCTCGTTCTCTTTTTCTTTCCTTCTGCCTTTCCCAGCATAAAATTATCCTCCTCAAGGGAGGATAATTTAAACTTAGTCAATTGTGCCTTGAGTGAAAAGTCTGTGTTCATTTGCTTGACAATCCATTTGTTTGTTTTCTTGGCTGTACACAATATTCTCAGGAGCATTCTCCAACACCAAGAATAAAAGAATCAATACTTTTCCTATCCTGCTTCTTCAAAGTCCAACTTTCACTTCTATAGAGTGTCACAGAGTATACCATGAATTGTAATATTCTGATTTTTGTAGCTGTAGTATTTAAATATCTTTTATAAGGCCTTCAGGATTGCTTCACGAAGTGCTAGTCTTTGTTGTACAGGTAGTCCTCGACTTACAACAGTTTAGTGGACGTTCGAAGTTTACAACGGCACTGAAAAAAATGATTTATGACCGTTTTTCACACTTAGGACCATTGCAGCATTTCCCTCAGTCATGTGATCAAAATTCAGATGTTTGGCAACTGGCTCACATTTATGACGGTTGCAGTGTCCTGAGGTCATTCGAGCACCTTTTGCGACCTGACAGGTAAAATCAATGGAGAATCCAGATTCATTTAACAATGTTAAATGTTATTAACTTAATAACTGCAGTAATTCACTTGTGGCAAGGAAGGTTGTAAAATGGGATAAAACTCACCACAAATGTCTCACTTAGCAACATACATTGTGGGCTCAATTGTCGTAAGTCGAGGACTACCTTTATTTCTTGACTGCTAGTTCCTGTACTGTTGATGGTTGATCCTAAAAGGCAGCTATCTACTATGTCTTCCCTATCAGTTCTAATAGATATAGAGAAGAATGGGGGACAGGGGCAGATAAGCCCATTCTGTATTGTTGCACAAAAGCAACATCCACATTGCATCAACTAGAAATCAGGCTTGATTCAAGAACGCATATACCTAATGGCTGATATCGTACTGTCAGTAGTCCTGAACTTACAACCGCAATTGGAATTAGAATTCTGATCGCTAAATGATGGTGTTTTAAGGAAGTCATCATGTGATAGGACCTCATTTTACAACCATTTTTAACCACATTTGTTCAGTAGATCACTGCAGTCATTAAGGATATCTGGCTTCCTTAACTGACTTTGCTTGTCAAAAGCTGGCTGGGAAGGTTGCAAATCATGACCATGTGATTGCAACATTTTCTAATAATTCATAAATGCAAGTCAATTGCCAAGGACCCAAATTGAGACTACATAACCGCAGGGATAGTGCAGTGGTCATAACTTTATAAGTCATTTTTTCTGAGGCAATTATAACTTTGAACCATTCATTGTTAAATAAATGGTTACAAGTCAAGGACTCCTGTATGTGTGAAAAAGATTATGAGCACCAAAATTTAGAATATGGAATACAGAGTATAGTTATAGAATATAGAATTCAAGGATTATACAAAAAATGTTATTCAAATGAGCTTGATAATGCTGGTCTGTATGGACTAATCCAGTGTAAGACAATTTCTATTATCACAATTGAAACAAATATATATATATATATATGTGCTGCATGGTAGTCTAGATTTATGTATTGTATTAAGCCATGGTTTAGTTACGATTGATTAAATAAAACAATTGGCTAGATTCACAAAGCACTCTAAACCCATACGTGATAATTTACAGACCGCATTAGAAAGAAGCAAGCCACAAAATAGTTTTTTACAATATAGAAATATAGGCAGAGCTTTGTAAAAAAGATATCAGAAAATATGGGAAGAGGATAATTCAGAGACATTGGGAATGTTTCACATATTTAAGTGTATTAAGCCATTATTTACTGCATAAACAGTTATCCTCTCATAAAGGATGGATCTGTGCTGCATTTAAAGCCAGGGTTCTCTCAACCCTGTGAGTCAGGACAATTTTGGGAATTGCAAGCAATAGAGAAATTCACATAAAAAATAAGTAAGACCTACTTCGCCTGTGTAAGCCTGCAGTTGTACCACAAAGTTTTGGAACCCTGTGGCATACAGCTGATATGTATTAAAGGTGGTATATTTGTGTTTTGCCAATGCTGATAACAATGAATCATTGGTTTTATTCTAGGAAAGGGAATGTACAAGGCCACCATGTACAAGGCGTACGTGTACAAGTTTACATGTACAATGTACAAGGTGAATAGAAGTCTACTTCTGTAACAGCAACCTTTCTACTTCTTTAATTTCAGCATCATAAGTTCCCCTTTTTGATCCTGAGCATATGTCAGTTCATTTCATATACTGTATCTCCTATTTGGTCCAGTTACAGAATAAACCAGATGCAGTGTGTGTGTCCATAGCCATTCTGAAGCACCTTTTCAATTTCAAACTCAAACCCAAATTCTGTATCTGGCAATTTTATTTTATCTTAGAAAGTAATTTCTAGTTTGGACCTACTAGCTTTCAACAAACAGCATCAGCTTTCTGATGGTAAAATTGAGTTTTAATCATGCTTATGACATACTGGCTGAAATCTGGCAAAACAAACTAGCACTGTCATTATTTAGCAGGAAATGTTGCAGATGGACCTGGGAACCAGGGAGCCTTGTAACTTATTTGGCATCTACTCTTGCTTAAAAAGTGTTATGTGAAGTATCATTTGGAAGAGCAATGATGGACAACTGAGGTCCAATATTAATGATCCATCTGGTGATGATCATAGTATATGAAAGATAACTTAGAATGTAAGAGGAGTTTATAAATTTCATTTGTTAAAGAAAAATAGTTCACGCTGCGTATTAATAAAAGTATGAAAAAAGATACAGCAGATTGGAAACCAATTGGTCTGATTTTTGTGGAGAATAGTGGAAAGAAAAGGAAGAACTGGTCCTGATACAAAATATTATTAGAGTAATATCTCAGCAAAAAGAGGAAGTGGACATAAAGAAGATACAGAATCTTCTTAGAACTGAATAAAAATAATTAATTTACTGTTTGTCATGTGCAGTTACAGTAAGGTGGAATATAAAAAGATGCTTGGTGAAATGATGTGGCAAAGAACAAAAAATAGATAAATATACTGAATAATAATTACAAAGTACAAGGAACTGTTAAGGTTAAACGAGGTAGAGAAAATGCAGACAATTTTTGATGAAAGATCAAATTTTTGGGGAGACGATTGAAGTGGGCTAACCAAAGTGTCTCCAACGGAATAAATAGAATTTTAAAATAAAGGTGATAAAATTATTTAAACTGAACCGAAGTGGGGCAATACTGCAAGGAATATTTTAGATGTTTGTATGGAAATGTTAGTGATATGTTGAAATATAAATCTAAATATCCAAAAGAATGATGAAGAGGGTATAAATATTGAGATAATCTTGAAAAACAATAAGGTGGCAGGTATATGGATGTAAGTGGAAAAACATTGAAGTATTTTATTTACTTAATCTTCAA